CACATCCTGACAGAAACATAATGGCTAAGTAAAATTCCTGTCTTGCATTTCAAAGCTTTCCAGATGCATTTCAATAAATTATTAATATTCACCAAAAGGGTTCCATTGATGGATAACATAAATGTAAATCAACAAATCAAATTAGATGCTTTGTTTCTCTTTGTTCTGTCAATATACGTCAATCAACACTGAAAGTACCATTGAGCAGAGGAGTGTCCTTGTTATTTGGACTGGGGTGGCCCAACCACTAAGGGCACTGACTTATGTAGACTTATTTAGACTTATGTAGAGTTGCATTAGATGTGGGCAGTGGTTCCCAAACTTTTTTGCCATGCCACCCTTTGGCAGATACAATTATTTTGAAGCCCCTACCCTTCACTATACTCCTAAACATTATCTCATATACTTAACACACTGTCAGCCATGCTCAATTTCCTATATTTTAGAATGTATCTCAAACATTCGCTGCAGAAAGTACAGAACAGCAACTTCAGTGTGACAAAAAACTGTAAAACTATTAGCCACTTTGAAAGAGGAATCAATTAAAAGTGATAACGGTTATAATTTCTTTATACCATTCCACACTTTTGACAGAGGAAACGCTATTAAATGTGTACCGTACTGAACCGAACTGAACTGAACTGAACCGGACCGCTTGGTGGAAACGGGGCTTATGTGTCAAGTTTCCTAAACAAAGATGATTTTTGTAAAGCTTTCTTAGAGAAAAATACTTGATAGAATGATAACACTCAAATCTTTAGTATGAAAGTAGAGCAATAAGCTGCTTGGCTTAGCCTAGTCAAGGAGGGTTAGCTTAATTAAGTAAGAAGGCTGCAATCAGACAGCATAACAACAATGAGCAATCTGATATGTAACATATGCTGTGTGTTAAGCTAAGTTGACTGTTTCCTGGCTCCATGTTCTAAAAAAAAAACATTTGCATGTTACAATCTTTAAAAATAAAAATCACTATTCCTTGAAATCAAGAACATTTTGGATTACCAGAATCATATTTTGTTCATGTGTGCCTTGGGTGTGCTTATTATATGAAGTTATGGCTTTTAGCTATTTACACGCTTGTCATCAGTCTGTGTTGTTGTGCTGAGCTTTATTCTTGGGCCATTAGGACATAGATACTTTGTTTGTTTTGCATGTACTTTTAGGGCAGGCTCCTGAGCTGGCCATTTGTGAAGATTTTAGCAGTGAATGTAGATCAGAGCTAGAGGCTGCTGATTTATCCCCACCGCAGGGCCACAGTGTCAGAGGAGAGCAGATGTAAATTAATGGAGTGCTAGTGATTAGATTAACAAAGCCTGCAGGGCAATGTAGTGATTCTAACTCAGCTGGTTTGGGTGTGTGTGTATTTGTGTATATCATAAAACTGTCAGCCTCTAACACCATTATAGGTGTTTGACACATACATGCCCATGGAATCATTGCCTCATAAATAACATAAACACATAAAACACACATCTTTTCTCACAAACAGCCAGGTTTTAATTCTTACAGCTTCATGCTGCAATAAAACCATTGACTCATGACAGCAATTCAGTTAATGGCAGGAGGTAAACAGTGCTGTCAAGAGATAAACAGTCATTACACACCAACTCAAAGTGAAAGGGGCACACTAACATACAAGTGGATGCAGATGTGTTGAACACTTAGAGCTTCCATCTGAACAAGCGACAAGGCTCTAGTGAATAATGCTCAATGAAGAGGGCACTTTCATTAGGATGACATCAAGCTAGCTATTTCTGTTCCCATGCTAGCTGTATATTCTTATTTCAAATGTCTTAAGTGATAACAGCAAAAAATGCCTCCTGTGTACAACCACCACCCCACAGGAAATATAATTGGGATTGTTTCTCAAGGAGAGGAAGTGAAAGATTTAAACAGAACCAGACAGTGAGGTGAAACAGCAGCCAACAGGGGATACTTTCCCAAAAAAAAAGCCACACAACACAGACAGACCAGCAGTGAATTCAATAAAGATAAATTAGATTTTATCTGATCTGTATTCAAGAGGGAAACCCAGATTGAGGGCATAGAGAGAGAGGGGGAGAGGTTAGACAGAAGAGTTGGAGTTGGTTAGTGTAAGGTGAAAGGGAAGGGTAGGTTGAGGAAAAAATAACAACAGACTGTTCCATGAACTCTTGTTGGTTGACTTTGAAATAGTTCAAAGCTCTGAAAAGTTCCCCAAGTCACTTCTATAACTTTAAATCCTGATCTTACGTCAAGTGGAATCCCACAAGGCTCATTGCCTGGCTAAGTTCTATTCCATTTGTATTTGCTGCTCATTACAGCCAACTCCCACCAGATGCGTGTTCAGACCGGAGCGGACATGCAATGCACTCGTATCTGGTGGAAGTTCGGTGTTAGCCATGCTGTATGTCATCTTATTAACACCCCATTTCCACATATTCCGTGCACACCATAGTCTATCTACGCTGCTGTTCGCTGCTGCTCTAGTCAGTGATTGTGATTCCACCGAGAACGCTATGGTCCGTCTCCGGAGCGTGCCAGCAGCGCTACTACGCTACTTTTGGTTTCAAATACGCTGCGAGTCTATTTTCGACAGAGTACGCTGCAGACATGCGTCAAGCTGGACAACCCACCCCCATCCCCCCACTTTAAAACAAACTTCGGGAAGATCTCACAGTCAATATCTCTTCTCTCCTATGGTACTTAACTCCCAGCTCTGATGATGGCTATTTCCAACCGGGACAGAATAAACTATAAAGGACTTACAAATGAAACCATAAATAATAAGTTATGACTGTTAGGAAATGTGTTCCTTTGCTTTATAAAGGCCACTCTTGTCATTTTTGGAGCAGCCACATTAAAGGCAAGACGATGCATTACAACTTACGCCAATCAAGCAAAACATCATACTCTTTCTGTTTCCCAGTTAGAAAAAAAGAAGCGTATATGTCCTATGTTTGGCTTAGCATATAAGGTGTCATCTTTGTCACACAGAGAGGGGATTCATCTGATACCTAATGTTGTCTCAGCTCAGTCAGTCATACCCATATACTTCAAGACGTCTGCCATCATGCCCGTGCTCAAGAAAATCAAGAACAGCATATCTAAATGACTAATTCAAAGTGTCACTCACCTCCATAGTGCTTTAAAAAACTGATTGGTCGACTTATAGATTGACTAGTATTGTGAAGTAATGTAAAAGGAAGTGATCATACTGATACCTAAGAAATGTACTTTACTTATTTTATTTGTAAAGGGACCACATGTCCGATGTGTCCTTGGGCAAGGCACTTAACCCCGAATTGCTCCAGCTGCTTCGTCAGGGGCGTATGAATGTGATTAGTTATTTCTGATGCTCACTTTTCATAGAAACCTCTGCCATCAGTGTGTGAATGGGTAGGTGTGACCTGCGGTGTAAAAAGTGCTTTGAGTAGTCAGAAGAATAGAAAGCACTATACAAGTTCAAGTCCATTTACCAAGTCCATCTACAATATTAAACATAAATGTTTCCCTTTGATGCAGTGTACCAGAGTTAGCTTAGAGATAGTTTACATCTATTGTTATCATCATCGTACTAATAGAACTGTACAAAGTAGCTTAAACCTAGGGTACCTTTTATCACACATTGTCTTACAGTAAATTGCTGATACTCTGTGATTGATGGATAAGCCATTCCACCTGTCAGTGCATTTCTGGTATATAGCATGTGTGTAGTTGGTTGTTTACTTTAGTAAATATGTGTGTCTGCATGTGTTCATGTGTGATTACACCTAAATCACACAGATAGAGCTTGATTAACAAATTTAACAGGATGATATGGGTCAACAGCCTTCTGTGTGTGTTTGCACATCTGTGTGTGTGTGTGTGTGTGTGTGTGTGTGTGTGTGTGTGTGTGTGTGTGTGTGTGTGTGTGTGTGTGTGTGTGTGCTTGTGCTTGTGCTTGTGCACATCATAATTAGTGTGTATATGGTTGTGCACATGGATGTGTATTGTGAGGTCTCAGACTCTGTTGAAGTTATCTAGGTCATAGTGGATACATTTTTAATCTTACTCTGCTACAGTAACACTGGCACATTAAAAGCTTAAGATTTAAAACATTGCAGCAGGAGTTCCTTGTTTATAATTGGATTTCTAAGATTGGATTAATACGAATAATTAAAAAAAGATAATACTCTGAAATTGAACATTACTTTGGACACACATGCACCGTCACACACTTTACTGGACAACTGGAAGGGATCAGGAAAGGGAACTGTGGAAGGACATTGCTTCATGTTTTCACATGTGATTCAGCATCAGAGAGATTTCTGATTGCTATGTTGGGAGGCATAGCACATAAGCCAAGGATTTTAAATGTATCACAAAACTCCTAGTAACTGCAGGTGCTTTTATAAAGCTGCTTTGGCTCTGAGATGACAACAAAAGGCAAGCTTCCCACTACACCAGATAACTGGAGCTTCTGTGAGATATGTTCACAAATCAAATGTGAGGCAGCTTGTAAGCTGTCCATTTGAAACTTTGGTTAAACTACCAAAATAGTGTTTAATAGCCAAGACTGAGGGGCCCTGTCATTCACTTTGGGGTTAAAACAACATAGAGTAAATCAGGATTGGACAAATCGTTTTTTTTTTTACTGATGTTGATATTGTAAAAAGCTATAACAATTGTATGTCAAATAAGTTGTGAATCTTTCAAATAGGTCAAGAATCAAGTTGTAGAGATATGTCAGTCTGTTCCAAAGTGATAGACAAACACTGTCATCCCAAGAGTCAAACCACAATGTGGCCTAAAAAAGTAGAAAGTCAAATAAGTGACCATCAATTTCGAGACAGACATTTGAAATAAGACAGTCCTGTTGGCTATGATGTGTAAGCAAATAAAGACAAAAATAAACTCAGTCAAAAAGCTTATTTTTTGGTACTGTTCCTTATAAATGTTACTATTTATATTGGGCTAACAATAGATACCTAAAAATATCAGTACAAAGCTGACCTCCCTCTCTCCCTCTGTCTTTGCAGTCCTTGTTGCTGATTCGTCAGGAGATGGTGGTTTCCCAGAAGAAGCTCGGCGAGTTTTGCGAGGCTCTGAAGCAGTACTTGAAGAATGTCTCCACTCAGAGAGACTGCTTTCAGTAAGTCCCGGCACTGCTTCCCATTTTCACTACCTCTCTGCTGGGCGCTGCAGCTGCAGAGTGCAGCACCACAGCCCTAATCATGTTGAATATTTAATGTTTTTCATTTTTAGTGTCAGGACCTCAATGCTATCTCACTTTAATAGGTAGTACCTCACATTTTCCATCTTTTGGTCTGGGTTGTGTCAGTAGTTTTTAGTGTTCATGGGCACATGCACAAGCACACATAAAACACTTCTCTGGTGGGAAGTTGGTATTTTATGATTATCTTTCAAAAAATGAACAAATCCACTGTAATCCCCAAGGGTTTGTTTCAGTGGGATAATTACATGCTGCATACGCATTGCAGGTAAAATTGTACCTTTAATATAATCTTCTATATATGCCGCCCTTTTGTAAAACTCCTGTGCATTCCCCCTTAGAGCCTCGAGGTGCTGTGAATCAGTCTAATATCCGGAGAGACTCAGAATGCTGTATGCTTTGTACTGAGCCATATTCTGCATATGCCCTTGGCAAGACGCAAAGGGTCTATCTCTGCTGCTTATTCTGTTTGTTTTATAGTTTCTCACACAAGTTTCCGCAGCCTCTCATTTGGGGAAAAGATTCTGAAAGACTCTCAGAGACAGAGTTTCCAGATTTTTGGAGACCTGAAATAGCATTGAGTAATTGCAAATATTCCATTCTGTTTGAGTATCATAAGACATTATATTAGTCCTTATGTGTCTCCCAAAATAAAGTTAAAAATCTATTCAATTCTATTTTTCTTCCTGCTTTTTGGATACTTAGAGCAGCAGAATCAAATTCAACATACATTTACTGTGCACCTTTGAAGTTCAAATGGCTAATATATTAACACACCTGTTTATAGTCCAGCAGAGACAGGACAATATTATTTTGAGTTATGTTTGTGACTATTTAACAGTGGGTTCTTAAAGGCTAGCTCATTAGAGAGCAGCAGTTTTAGCCTGAAAAGATCTCTCTGTGTGATGAGACTGGCCTACAAAGTAACACTGTGGTCCTTGAAAACAAAGCAACAAGCTAAAGGATGCTAAAATGAAAGGAGAATCACTGATTGAATTGGTAATTCTCTTGTGGTTAGTCACAATAGGAGACCCCTTACATTGTAAATAGTTGTGTGAATAATTGGGAATATAAAGACTTTGAATGTATAAGTGTTAAATGAAGCACTTACTGACTCCATTGTATTAATGTTGTGAAAAGATGCCAGCCTTATAACACATAGGGAAGTTTCTGTACGTCTGACTGAAGACACACTTTTATAGATACATTTATTGTCCAGCAAAAAAAACAACAATCTTCTCAACACAGGAACAAGATAATATGAATGTCCTAGAGGGGTCCGGTTGGAGATAGGGAACAATGGGGTGTGCAGATGTGGAAAAAACCTTTTGCCACGGCAGGTGCTTGTAACACCATTTTGACTAACGTGAGGTGAATTCATGCAACATATTTCTATTTGTGCAGAAGCACTGGAGCAAGGTCTAGAGATCAGAATTTATATTGTCTTCATTTAGAATGCAAAAAAGAAGGAATGCATCCACTTTGTTTATACCAAATTTTAGATCCTGACCTCCCAACAGAAAAGTGAAGATACAGATTAAAATGGTGCTTCTGGTGAGGGTCTGTTGCAGAGCAAATGTTGTTCTAAAATCATCTGGAAAGTGGAGAAGGGCAAAGGTTCTCAGTCACAGCAAAATGTTGTTAATCCTTTTGGTTAAGAAGTGTTCTAGTGCCTGAGGCTCACACAAAAGTTGGTCACATGCATCAGTGGTTTACAGGGAACCATGGCTCTACTAAGGCTGTCAAGAGAGAAAGGCTACATTAAGTGAAGTTTAAATTAAACATCTGACCTTTGACAGTCTATGAAACAAAACCTGTTTTGCTGCTGTGAAATTCTAGCAACTGGCTCCTGAAGTGTGTCAGCTGACCTCAGTAACAAACATTTGAACATTTAACCTCTAATGTGAAAAAAAGTAGCTGTTTGTCAAATTGTGAGATTGTATTTGTGCTTGTGTCTCTTTGATGTTGACCAAAATCTGTCCGGAGTATATCACAATATTACATTATAGGGGCGTCAGTAGTAAGTGCACACGCCCCATGCAAAACAAGATGGCCTGGTTTTAAATCTGACCTTTGACTCTTTTCCTACATGTCACTCCCCACTCTACAGTATCTCTCTCCCCGATTTCTGATTCTATCTTCTGTCCTGTCTCACAGTAAAGGCATAAAAAAAAAGCTAATGATATAAATCTTAAAGAAAAATAAGTATATTATGATTTCCAAAACCAGAGGTTTAAATTAAATCATGAACAACTTCACCACCATTTAAAATCGTATTTTTCTTCTTTATTTTTACAAAGCTTTTAATCAATTAGACTGATTGCTATCACAGAAGTTTTGAGATTTACGTTCCCTTCAGGATTTGCAATTGCATGCATTTTGTCATGTTCTTTCTCTCTTTTATTTGACATCTTCTGTTCAAACTAATTTAATTTCGAACAGTGTTTTTGATTTTGGCAGTTTGTTAAAAAAAAATCTAAATGCTCACTGACCTCAGTTTTACTTTGTGTTTAGTGCTGATAAGGAAATGTTAACACGCTAAATGGTCAAAATGTTAATACTTGTACTTGTACTACCTGTATAGCTGTAGAATCTCTGCCTTATTTTCTTGCTTTTTTTTTTGTCTCTGTTGGGAGCATGCGGTGTAAACATGACATATTAGCCCTAGAGGAAGAACTCATGCTGAAATCATCCATTTTAAAGATGTAAAACTTACAAATGAAAATGCAGCTTGGCTCTGTATTTATAGAGTTTGAGTTGACTTCTTGTTTTTTTTAATCTATAAAATCATCCATCTGTTTTCGAGCACTTTTAAATTAACACATCTTATTCCCAAACTGTGACTGATTTTCAAGGTCTTTAATAAGTCACACAGGCACTCACACCTTCTGCACTGCTTCACACGTTTGCTCTTAGATGATAAAAAAAATTTATTAATTGATTTAGCGATAATGTTCATAAATAGCAGACAGAGTGGAAGGGCCCTTCAGGTGAAACACTTCACTCATCAAGATGATGTATTCGATTTATTCTTTGTTTTTGTTCGTATCCAGCATTAGGTTTTTTATTCACAGGGTTGTATGAACCTTGTTACTCTCTTATTTCTAATTGTGGTTGCATCACGATGTGTTTATGTAGCTGAACTGAATAATGCATGAGGATGCAGCTCTGTTCATGGAGGAAGCCTGCTCATTACCTCTGAGGAGGCTTTTCTCCCCTGTGCGCGCCCTCTCCATCTTTCTCTCCTTTGTAACACTGTATGTCTGTCCTCCTCTCTCTTCCCATTCCCTCTTTTTATCTTGCACAATCTAACTGTATAATAGATAAAGTTTATTTAGTCTTTGTCTCCCCTGCTCATTATCTTTTAGGGCCACTGTTTGATTACATGAACAAACACTTTATTATATCCTCCAGCAGACATCACACAACTCAACTCATTTCTTTCACAGCAGCGTGAATTGTTGAGCAGCAGCCTGTCCCCCTAGTGCCCTCTTCAGGTCAACGCAGGAACTGCCCCTTAGACTGTGTCAAAAACACTAAAGCAGATTGATTCAATCGTATCCTAATATTAAAGATGAACAATTTGATTGGATAAAGTCATCAGTCTAAAGGCAACATTTTTTTTATATTGTTGCTGTAAGCCTGTTATAAGTAATAAAGTGATTAAAGTAATAGAAATGTAATTTAAGCTTTAATTATGATTATAATGAAATATGGCTCTAAAGTTGTGCCATTTCTGCAAAAAGTTAAAGTAACAGTCAAGGCTGGATTCAATGATCATGTTGACATGACAGCTTTTCATAATGTTCAAAGGTCTTCGATGGTCTATCTTTTTTTTTTTTTCATTTTTCCTCAGAATGATTCATTTTCCAGAGCCAAGAGGCCCAGTGATTAAATTACCAAGAAAGCCAGTGAACTGTTAGAGCACAAGACCTTTTCCCAAAAAGTACTATTAAAAAGGCTATTCAATTTTACACTTACACTCTCCAGGTGGATACAATCACAACTCTTAGTCAATATAAACACTGCGTTTTTGTCTTTACCATAGTCATACAGCAGCCATTTTCTCATGGAAGCCTAAATGCTGTTATCAAAATGATAACATCGCACTACTGGGTTTAAGACTGCAAGTCATTAGGGAATCAGTGAAGTTGTCCTTTTTATCTCAGCTTTGCTTTGGTCAGCTATAAAGTCAATGAACAGGTAATTGTCCAGCAGCATATTCTGAAGTGAGCAATACATTGTCATCCAACATATTCCTACTGTAACTTGAATTTGATGGTGTAACACTATATATTAGGAAAGGAATAAACAAACTCTGAAATCACAACATGCTTCTTAGACAGGTTTAGTAAACCCTGGATGTATTCAGGCTTGCATTGTAATGTTTACAGTGTTACTGTCTGTTCACCCAATCTCAGAAATGCTCTGTGTAATGTAGTGTGTCATTTTGCTCGAACACATATTTCTGTGTAATGTTTACAAAAATTACCTCCACCACAAAGCTTGTTGGTCTGTGAGCTGCCACTAGGTGATCAAATATGTTGTTTTAACTTGACCAGATGATCAGATGTCCAGCTGTCCTTTTAGATTTTCACTATCCACTTACTCTATTGTTTAAAAAATCAGATCAGGGTAAAATCATAGCAATTGGTCATTCTTCCTATGATCTGCCGTTTGCAACTCAGAACACAGCAGTTCTACATTATGTTGCTTAAAGCATCGGAGGGTGATGTCATAAAGCTAGGTGCCCTGTGAATATGCAGGATGTGTTAAATAAATATTTTGAAAAAGCCACTTTTTGTACATAATTATTTTAAAGAGGACATATTAAACCCCTTTTCCACCTTTTCAAACAGTCCCCTGTGGTCTAAATGAAACATCTGTGCTGTGCTTTGGTCAAAATATAACATGAATCAAGCACCAGAGGAGGTTTGTGACCCTGTATAAACCAGCTCTCTCAGAATGCTCCGTTTTGGTGTGTGTGTCTCTTTAAATGCAATACTTACACTAGGAAGCTTGTGGCTCCGATGTCCGATGTCCGATGTGTGCTTGGGCAAGACGCAAGACATTTAAACCCAAGTTGCTGATTCCTCGGCAGCATATGAATACGTATGAATGGATAAGGTAATATTGATGGTCTCTTTACATAGCAACCACTGCCATCAGGGTGTGAATGGGTAGGTGTGACTTGCGGTGTAAAAGCACTTTGAGTAGTCAGAAGACTAGAAAATACTTTTTTTTCAACAGGCAAGATTGTTCCATGTAAACAGTGATTGCAGTTTCCCCTTGCATGACACAATCAAGTAAACATGGACTGAGAACCTTTGTGGATTATTTACAGAACAGCATTCTTTTTAACCTATACTTCAACAGATTGATGTGTTTAAAGATAAGCCTTTGGTCGTTATAGAATGCACTAGAAAGTGCTTTATTAAACTGCTGCTTTCAAAGCCATCATGTTGATGTTAAGTCTTGTAACTAAGTTGTACTATTCAGGTGATATAATTGTATGATCTAATATGTTTCTTCTTCTCTTCCACCCCCACTGCCATCCATCTACTTGTATACCTTGTCCTCCCTCCATAATCCACCGACCACTCTCTCATCACTCTCCCCCGCTTACCCATCATGTACTCCTTTACAATCCCACCCTTCCCATTCTGCTCTGACTCTGCTCCAGTGTGACTGCCGTGCGACTGCCTGACGGTTTATCCTTTGTCGTGTATGAGTTCTGGGATGGAGAGGAGGAGTGGAAAAGGTATGTTTTTAATCACATGTGGCTCCATGTAGTAGCAGTCCCACGGTGGTACTTAAAAAAAACAGTCAAGTCCTTAGAGGGAGTGAAGCATCTATCAATGCTTCAGGGATGCAGCAATGGAAGGCCCATTGCTGCAAAATGCTCCATTCCAAATACTGATCACTTTAAAGGTATTAAAAGTCATCACTGAGTGAGGCAGTTCATTTGGTTCTGAGAAAGCCTTCAATCAGCACTCTGGGTTCTGAGAAAGTTTTGTGGAGCTGAGCATGCTGTTCTTTGCTGTCATTGTTTTCATTGATTGCCAAATAAAGAGGGCACCCACTTTTCTTCCATTATTGTCATGAGCTCTGTTGGAAAAATTCCTCCATCCACATTTAATTAGCATTCTTCAGCCATTCACAAGCTCCAGACTTGCTGAAGCACTTGAGTTGCGACAGGTCAACATGATTTAGTGATGGTGCTGGGCATGAGGAGAGGATGCTGATGTAGCTGCCTGCTGATGTGAGTTTCTGCTCCACTGCTCACAGCATCCCCACTGCCATTAATATTTCAACTTACAGTTAAGGCTGAGGGCCACGCTAAGCGCTTGGAGGCTCCATGTGCTTACATTTTTTTTTCTTTTATCACACAGAAATGTACAAAACAAGATATGGAAAACAGTACGATATAGATTGGGATTATTCAAAAAATATTCTACTTGAAGGTAAATGAAGAAACAGTTGATCAGACAGGAGCACATAAGAGTAACGTAAGATACATTAAAAGGCTTTATGTGCTTGCATGTGTAAAAAGGTGGCAGATATCATTTTTAATGCCAAACTGTACATGCAGAGTGTTTAGCCTTGTGTGTTTGTGTGTGTGTTTATGTGTGTGTGTGCCCTCTCACTTTCTGACCGTCTTCTGATTTCAGGCACCTCCAGTCGCCCGCCAACAAAGCCTTTCAGCATGTGAAGGTGGACACACTGTGCCAGCCAGAGGCCATGTCCTCTGTAGCCGTGCCAGGTTAGTCATGAAACACAGCAGAATAAAAAAGTGCCTTTTTTTTTATTTTACTATAATAATGTATTTTTGGAGATAGATGACCAGCTAAGTTTAATGTGTTTACACTTACACACAAAGGGGTGAGACAGGACTAACTTGCTGCACACATCTGTGGTAGCAGAGAGAACGCTTAATAAAACACATCTGATTACTTAAAACAACATAGGTTTCTCTTCATTATGGACAACAGGGTTCTTTGGGGAAAGCAAACAACTTCATGACCAACTTGCCCCATATATGAATAAATGTATTAGAAACACAATATAAGCTTACAAGCCATGTACGGTGAGTGAAGACAAAGCTAAAAGTGTCTTGAGATAACATTTGATATGAATTGGCTCTACAATTTAAGGTTTATTGATTGATTAATAAAACACACACTGAAAAGGTTGAGCACAGAGCTCTTGGCTGGCCTGTAGGCACAATAAATGCACATCAAGCTATCCAAAAGATTTTTTTTCAATGTAAAAAGTTCCTTGTGTGTGTACTTGGCCAATAAAGCAGATTCTGATTCTGACTAGTGGGAAAGAACACCACGGGTGCATTGCTGCTAAAAAGTGTTGATGTTGAATTTATTGGAAAGGTGTGGTAGCTATAAACTTTAAGCTCTAGTACTAAAGAAAAGTAGAACTTGTGCACTGCATTTCAGGATGTTTAACAAAGGGGGCTATGCTTATAGTTGTTGGCACATGAACACACAATTCACTGCTCAAGAAAGCAATAATGGTTACTGGGTTGGAGCAAATAAACTTTTGAACATACTTTCTGTATCTAGAAAGAACCAGAATCAATAAATGTTTAATGTAAGTTCAATCAAGTCCATATGTAAGTATGGGGAGGCTGTGGCTCAAATGGTAGAGTCGTCGCCTTTCAACCAGCTCCCGCGGCGTCGGTGGCGGTGTATGAATGGATTAGTGTTGTACTTACTCTCTGATGTGTGTCGCTTTGGATAAAAGCATCTGTTAAGTGAATTGTAACATTGTAACATGCACTGAATTTGTAAAGAAATAGAAAAAGAAAGTCGGTGCTATCAGTAAGCTTTTATTTCATTTAAGAGAGATAAAATAAAGACGAAGAAAATCGGAACATTGGACAAGAGAAACAGTGTGTCTTCTTGTATTTTTTATAGCCTCTGGAAATTTGACTTGAGAAAAACAACATCTGATATCAAATAATTTAATAAATCATTAAAAGACCAGGAAATGCCCCATGTTAAGTTGTTCATTTTGACAGCAGAAATCGTCAATATGGCAAAGCCCAGAGCTTTCTGGTTCAACAAAATTATGTTGGGTAAAGGTATGATGGGCTGTACAACTCTTGTCGAATAGATTGCTTTCAGTGGGAACGCAAGGGGGGGGGGCTGCTTTTTGCACTGTTAGGGTTGCAAGATGGAGCCATTTGGCAAAGCCCAGCGCTTTCAGGGCAAATTAATGAACCAGTATTGGGGAGAATGAGCACAGCATATGCCAGAGTGCTTTTGTACTACTTCACCACAGATTAGAAAAAAAGGCGGCCCACCTTTTTCTTCAGACCACTGCAGTTGGATACAATGAGAAGCTGTCATAATATTGCGGTGGATGTGCAGCAAACAGAACTCACAATCAGGATAGGTAGATAGACAGATAGATAGATAGATAGATGGATAGATGGATAGATGGATAGTTGGATTAGGGTGGATTGGCTTTCAGTTAATTCATTACTTTAATGAACCTTTCATTAAATTTGTAGGTTCCAGATAATTAAGCACATTAGAGTTGAATACAAACAATAGAATAGAGTTTAACAGCCATAAGTCAGTAATTAACAGCTAACAGCAAGTCATTTTGTTAAATTGCAATTATAGAGCAGAACTAAATTATCATTGTCTCCTCGAAATCTGGAGACGCTGATAAGTGTTATAGTCAGGAAGGCTGGCTGTGTAATTACTAAAAGCTGGAAGGCATTGTGAACCACTAAAGCTACCTGGCACCGTTTAAAAAGTCTGACACTGGCATCCTAGGCGTAGGCTGTCAGGGACCTGAGGTGATGCCTGGTAGACTGCCATTTGTACTTTTTTCCTGTCTAACTCATTTTTCATCTCGCCCTCTATTCCTTTCACTCTCCTCCCTCACTCACTTGTCTTCTTTCTTTCTCTGACTTGCCAAATTTCTCCTCATCTCAATTCAATCTGTTTCTATTCATTTCCTTGCTCGTCTTCCTGTCTGTTCCCTCCCTTGGGGACCACTTTCTTTTCTATTTCCATCTTCCTCGCCATCCTCACTCTTGCTTGTCATTCTTCTCTCTCTGTTTGCAGCCGCCTGGTGCAGCGTGAACAAGGACTGAGCATGAAGATATTCAACAACACGCCAAGACTCCTGGACACTTCCCCCTTTCCTCTTGAAGCCCCTTCCCACCCAAAACCCTAGACCTGTACCCCTGCAATTCTACCCCTCTCACATCCCCACCTCCCCCTCCCTCCTTTAGCCCTCACATTCCTCAACTCTTTTTGTAAGTACATGTTTACACAGTGAAAATGAATGGTGTCAACCGCAGTGAAAATTGAACAAACAGTGCATTTTACACGGAGAGATTACTGAAATGCAATCTCAACGTAGTGGTTTTATGGCTACAGGTATTGGATTCTGTCATGCTCATGTTTCAAGTAGCTTTGAGCCACTTTATGGTGGAGATTGTCATGTAGCAAGGACCCTGAAGTTGAGTTTTCATGTAGCAGTCAGTCAGTACGTTTACATGCACAGTTAAGTCGAACTAGGGTTATAGCTCGATTGGGCCATTTATATGGTAGACTGTCCATGTCCCAGTGTACCAGCACCGAGGGAGAATCAATTTATGGACAAAAGTGTGTCATACTCTTCTACCATAGGGAGCGATATGCCCCATTTCAGCTAGTTACTATTGGACCTTTTTCTGGTTAGCAAACAGCAAAGTGGTGGTTGCATAGGTTGTACTGTATGTTGAATGGTGAAAACATGGACAACTTTACAGCTCTGTGAATTTCGTACATGCCCATCACTTTACTTTTGGTTAAATTGCAATGCATCCTATCCCTCTAGCTTATGGTGATACCCGGAGGCCGAAGGTACTGCAACTTTTGCTTAGTCATGTAATTATGCTGTTTGGTGCAAGGATTGTGGAACAGGCTACTTTGGGCCCAATTGAGGTGTATACATACACAAGAGTTAATCAATCTTCAACCGCATTATCTAGGTGTGTTTGTCCGACTCCAAAAAATTTGATTTAATACTCTTTCAGTCGCACTAACATGTTTACATGCATTGTAAAAGTCTAGTTTTAGTCGGACTCGGACATCACAATAAATCGACTCTAACTGCATGTAAACGTACTGACCATCTTTGGGTAGTGCATTTATGAATGCTGCATTTATTTCCTCTTTGTTAGGGTAGAATTTACCACAGGTAGCTCATCTTACTGTTGTTTCATTGTAGCTTCTCATTTCACATTTGCACTCACACAAAGTGTTGTACACTTTGGTTTGTTTTGTTTTTTGACATTATTCTCACATCAGCCATAAACACCTTACATTGACACGTTGAGTATAATGTATGAGGACGATAGACCTACCTAGTTGCTGGATAAGCTTGCAATCTCAGGAAAACTGAATGCTTGAATTTAGCTAGAACAGTTAGCATCTAGCTAATGGTTAGACTTACTTTCCCAGTCACCTGATTCCAGGTCACTAAAAACAGTATTCAATGGTAAAATCAAGAAGACCTTGCAAGCAGTCTTTTACAAGGTAAGACAGACTCTGACTTAATACAGGGAGGCAGATATCTAATATGATTTAAGTTCTTCACAAATAAATGCTCTTTTTCATTTCAAATACAAATGGCACTGAGAGGTTAGACTTGGGTTATTTCCTGGACTGTCCATTATTATCCTATATACCAATGGAAGAAAGGTAGAGTTCCTGTCAGGTATTCCCTCAGTATCTCATTGGGTAACAGTCCTTACACACTCTATCAAAGAACTAGGGCTATGATTGTAACAGTTCTTAAATGCTAACAAGCATTTTAACCAGTCCTTGAATGTATGAAGACACCTTTTAAGTGTAATTTTTTGTGTTGTTTTTCAAATTTGGACATAGTATTTGAATTCAAAGTATAAGCCTTTTATTAAACAGGTCAATCTGATCCATTTGTTTTGGTGTGTGAGACCCAAGTACACCTATGTTTAATGGCTACTGTGAGAGTAATGTCTCTGATGCTATAGGAGCTTATTTAGCATGTGAAAACAAGTCCAAGCTAACTTGTGATTCTCAGACATGTAGCCAACCATTAGAGTTAGGGATTTAAACCTCATTACAAACCTTTTATGTCATGAAACACTTTGGGGTCAAATGTTGAATCTCTACACAGTGATAACAGGGCTGAGATGAACAGATAATATAGCTGTAGAGGGATCATGAGTGACTTAGAAAACAGTCTGCTGCTACTTTGAGACAGAGGAGATTAAGTAGAGAGACAAAGATAGCACCTCACTGTTCTCCATGCAGCTAAAGTTTGTTATATTTTTTGCCTTCAGTAAGTGTATTCTTTCTCTGATTTGGCGATGGGTAGCTTATAGTAGTGGTGTAAGTTTAGGAGAGATTGTACATATGAGAATATTGTTCAGTTATGACTATATTTGTATTTATTGACATCTTTAGTGCTATGGTGCAATTTTTCCTCAGTGGAAGTGGCAGTAGCTAATTAGGCATTGCAGCTTCTTGTAACAGTTTGTTTGAATCAGAATAACTACCATCAGAAACTTTAAATAGAAACCCATCTAAATGACACTGAATATGAAGCCTTAAACATCATCACATGGAGGAGGAGGTCGAGGTTTTGAGGAGTTTTCAAAAGATTCATTTCTTCATAGAATGTGTTCTAAACTCCCAGTAAGTAGGGGAACCTCTGAGCATTAGATTACACAACACCATGTCTGAGTTGCATTGACATTTTGATGACACAAAGATCGTTTCACTATGCCATATCACTAGAAAAACCCTTGAATTTATGATAGTACTCCTTATAACTAAGCATACTGTTAGCTCCGCACCACCTTGGCATCTAAACATCCCTCACTACATGCCTGAGCAGTGCGTGTGCTTAGCAGAACCACATGCTTTTCATTTTGTAATGCATTTTAACGGGTTAAACATCCTCACGGCCCATGTGTGCTGCACAGCTTTGCTAAATCACAGGGTGTGGCAGTGCTGAAATACTACAGAACCAGGCTGAATTTGGTTCTTTGCAGAAAAATGCTAAAATAGATATGTCATAATTACATAATACCAGCAATAATACTTTTTTCACTAAGGTTTCATTGTCTATATCTTTAGACAATGAATTGTTTCAACACAAACTCAGCGTAAAGAGGGTCAGGCTGGTTGCAGCTGCATGTAGTCTATGTACACAGGGACAGAGTGGATGTTAGTTCTGTGAGGCAGTCACAACGCACTGTTCAGGTGTGCAGTGTCTCCCCGGCTTTACACATGAAGATCAGGTATACTGTCTCCATTCAACCCACTAATACAAGCATGTCTATAACTATAACTGAACTGGAGTATCAAAGAATCAACAGCTGGGTGGGTCTGATCAGCTAGGTCTGTGTCTATAACGAACTAGAACTAGACTTAGTTTTGAAGCTCTGGTATTTATGTCATGTTTAGGACCAATGACCATGTTATTGGATGGAAGTTTTTGAAATTTGACATAAGGAGTGCGGCCCACTTACCATAATTGATGCTTTAACCCATTTTATATTAAAGCTCCATTCTGAACGACTACAACCCAGTGGAGGGCACTCTTAAGCAAGCACAAGGGTCAAGGGAGTGCATTGAGACTAGACATTGGGCTACTGTTTAGTTTTAATCTTTGGCCCTGAGTTCTATTCACAATCCAAATGAAATGAAGTCAATTGACACCTCTAAAGTACATAATCCAAACTGGCATCCTATCTTACTGACATATTATATTTAGACATATTATGTATGTCTGGCTCGTCCTTATTTTGAGAAGATTTGCTTGAAATTGATCAGACCCACCTCTGCATCTGCTCTGTTTCTTCTTTATCATATCAATACTGGGGAAAAAACTGAGCTCAATAAAACCTTACCAAGCCCCCTCACCTAACCTTCTCACGACCAGCACCGCCATGAGTCCACCACCGTCAAACAATCAGACTCTCACTCTGAAAGCACAATGTAAAAAAAATAAGTGAATATTGTGACTTAAAGATACAGTATATAGGAGGTTGTTGAGTATGATGAGAGTATTTAGAGATATATATAGTATTACTGTTTATCTGTTTTGTTTCTTATTTATAGCTCTATTCTTTCAAAGGTGCCATCATGCCATCCATCTCACACTTGAGTCTATTTTCTCTATTTCCCTCTGTGAATGACAGCCAGTCAGTCATCTGCCAGTACTGTGGTAGTAGTGAGTGGGGATCTAGCTACATTGATACTTATAATGATCCAGCACCATTCCCTTCTTTTGGAGCGCTGTGTTGCATTGAGCTGGGCAGGACTGTGTGGAATGTGGACATATTAAATGATGTTAAATATATCAAGTACACAGAATATGTATTACAGTAGGCTTATAGAACAGGCATGCAAAGGCGTCGCTTCTTTATCTGTGAAATGTATCGAATAAGTTCAGAGTGTCTGTGATGAAGATACCCTGTGGAGCTGTGCTATGGAACAAGGTGTTTACAAGTTGGCTCCTGCTGGTTACACTGTAGTATTCTGACTCTAAGCAGTGGTAAAGCTACGAGAAATGTAGCAATGCGTCAACCAAGCCAATTAGGTCTAGGTGGCTACAAACAATACAGTGGGGAAAACGAAAGAAAAGGATTTTTGTAAGTGTGTTCTGATGAAGGAACGCACATTTTAAAAGCACATGGGTGTTCTGTCACTTGGCATCTGTATAGCTCAGCTGCATTGTAAGGTTTACAAGATTCCTGTATCGAAGAATGTACTAAGAAGTGCCCAATGAAGACGTTTCAGAGGAACAAAGCAGCATTACGGCCAATGTCAGATAAGTTTATGTTGGTTACCAAACTTTTCTGACATTGATGCGTGCACATCACTCGAAAAATCTATGAAGTAATTACATTATCCACAACACCAACTAATCAGGAGATGTACAATCCCGGAACAATTACATTTTAAATAATGCCTTCTTTTAATTCTAAGTCCTGTCTCCTGTTCCAGTAGTGGAAATCAATAGTCTAACATTACATCTTAATATGGGCTGTTGTCCGTGCCTTTAGCCTGTCTTGCCTTGATTACTGCAGTTCAATATTTATTCGCCTGTAGCCTGCAGTCAGTGGTGAGTGCACCCAGCAAACGCTAAGCACAGAGATCATAGCTCTCCATATCTTTGGAGGATTACTTAAGCCTCCTACAGAGTTGAGTTTCAGATTACATTATAAGGCTTTGGCTCTATTAGGGTTTATACTTCACCATTGTGTTCAGCTGTAGAGGTCACTTTGGCTTCATGGAAGTTTCGATGCCTCAGTGTAGGCAAAAACCCTGCTAATGAGGAACAATGCTTTTGGCCTTCATTTTGTCAGAAACACAGATGGATGGTAACTTCAACATTCATTGCTGACTGTCAAAAGGACTTCTGAGGACACAGCGGAGGCCTTTAGAAGACCCTGATTTTTTTTCCAGACATCAGGATATCTGTCTATATGTAAACCTTAAACTGCAGCCGAGCTGATTACAGAACAACCAATTACTTACAAGACGGCTCCACAAGGTACCTTTACCCTTTCATTCCTTAAAAAAAATGACATGCACTCCTGTGCCAATAAAAGCTTGTTTGCGTTCAAGAAGGAGCTGCTGTATCTGAATAGAAACATAAAGCCATATTGCATGGATTGATGTGTACATGTCAGTGACCCAATATACTGATAGCCATAGTTTTACAGTACTCCAGTGCCCAGCTAAATGCAGCACATGCGATCTTACTGAGGGCTTTTCTTTCCTGTACATTGTGCCCAGCCTGGTTGGGTTGTGTAAATGAGTTAGATAGTGAGTGAAGTGTCAGAAATGCCAATACTGTTTCCTATTGATACATTCCTGAATGTCCCTCAGACTGTGCAACCTGTTCTTTTCTATCCTACTCCTCAGTGCAACCTGTGCTTTGTCATACAATGAAAGAGTTATGCTATTGAAATGTAGTGACGCAGGACTTGATTGAATGTTTCCCAGCAACATGAAAAGACAACATGTAAAACTTCAGGAGGCCTGGTGGACGCTGGTTGACAATAAGCTTGTCGCCAGGTCAGCCTCAACACGCTTTGTGACATGAACAACAGGCCAATCAGGAAACTGAAAAACGGATCAAGGCAATAACTCTTCCCTTCTATGGCTGTGTTCTTTTCTATCCTTCAACTGAGTGCATGTCAACTGAATGTCCAGTAACTTCTTTGCTGTAGTATTAGGCCATGCTACTCTTCAATGGGTTTTGTGCATTTCTTACCTTTTTTCTTTTCTAGTATACCTATAAAGGAGAAAGAGACTAAAATCTATGATATTAAAATATATATGACTAGAAAAAAATGGCATTGAAGAATGAACATTCACTTTTATGGCAATGTTTAATGAAATATTAATTCTTAATGTATGTTTCAGTAAAACAGCTTTCTCTTCTTAAGTGTAGAGACTTATTGCAGGGATGCAAGTATTATATTTGGTCTTAAAATAATATATTGTTGAAATTCTAGATGATGTAGAGTGATACAATTCAATAAAACTATAAAACTGCAAAGCTGTGTGTTGTGGCTGAATTTAAGACTTCTCTGTGGTTCATATGAGCTTTCCCCATCACATCGGTGAATCCACTTCTTTCTATGGTGAAGTTTTTATCCAATTATGCTGCTGGACAATCGCAGATGTTTATTTCATGGTTGGATGAGCATTCAAATCAGGTTTGCCATAAAAAAAATAGGTGCAATTTTCTCAATTCAACAAGGATGTAATGTATCTAAATTGGATCAAACTTTTGGGCACTTGTGTCTTCATTCATCCACTGCGGCTGTACAGAGGGAATCAAGGAACCCATACGAAGAGAGGAATCAAGGAAATGTGTTTGTAGAGAAATTAGATTTCCGTTCTTCTGGAGCTTCATGTGAAGTGCACATGTCTATATCTACACATAAGCATGATGATTAATAATAATAATAATAATTTATCCTTTATTAATCAGAAATTCAGTTTTTACACTCTGTCTAATGAACATGCTACACAAACATAGGCCGAAATACACATGCACAAACAGGATCCTGTGGACATTAATGCAATAAATGGAGAGGTCTCAGAGTGAGGGGCTGCCCACAGCGAGTGCTCTAGAGCAGATTTGGGGTTTGGTGCCTTGCTCAAGGACCTCGGCAGTGCTCAGGAAGTGAACTGGAACCTTTCCAGCTACCAGACCAATTTCCAGACTTGGTCCATGCCGGGTCTTGAACCAGTGATCCTCTGATTCCCAACCCAAGTCCCTACAGACTGAGCTTCAAATACAATTATTTTTCGTTGGCAATTATGACAACATGAAGTAAAACCTGCAGTATTATTAATCCTTCTTCATGTGTGTGATGTTTTTTACTCATTAACTGTGTCTAAAGGTATTTCATTTAATTTCAGTTTTATTTGTTCCGCACATGGCAATACACACAACCCTTCACAGAAAACGATTTACAATTAAATCACGATCCATGTTGGGACAGGAGCTCTATTTAGTGATAGTCTTACTTTTATGTGAAAAGTTTCAGGGAAACCCCAAAAAATGATGTTGCTCACATTAAACTGATGCTATGGAATTATCAGACTCACATGTGACTAAATGGAAATGATAACTTCAAAACAAAAAATGCTTCTTAATAACAGACAGATCCATCCTTTAAGCTGAAGTGCTAATTAGTAACTGATGTCTGTGCAGAGGGCATGGAGCCTGTTCTTAGGTGTCCTCACGGTGGAGAATGTCTAAAGTACAGTGAGCCTGAGGAGATCCTTAATTGGTGGATCTAGTTACTTTGGAGCTGACCTTGAGTAGGGACCAGGAATCTGACCTCTTGGCTTCTATGACTTTGATTTTAACATGATCTCAATAAACCTTTGTCTTCTGAGTCCCCTTAACTGTGTGTAGGAGTAATATAAAAACACTGAGTGTCTCTATTGCTTCTTTGTCCAAACATTTAGAAGTCACAAAGGAGCGCTTCCAGAGGGGTGGCATGGGCCCCCCTTGATATCATATTAGCCACCCCACGTGCCACCCCATAATCCCTCACCATGATTGGTTATTTGCCTTACCAGAGGTGGGACTTCAATTGAAATCCACAATTCAGGTTGTGTTAAAAATACTTAAACTTGTGACTTGACATGCATGTTTTTGAGTCCTTGAAGTATTAAAGGTGCACTATGTAGATTTGGTAGTGAAATGTTTAAGTTGGAGAAGTGAAACAATTCTATGCTATATTTTCTGAACTAAATACACAAACTTTTTTCAAAGAAACAATTATTTCCCTGGAACACTGTTTGAAGCAAAAAAGCTACCAGGAGAGTTACGGTTTCACTGTGGCAGACCCTCCACCTTAAGTTCTTGAGTAGCATTTTATCTTCAGTGTTACAGGGAACAAATTTTCCTCTGAGGACAGTTTGTGTTTAGAGTTATGAACATACACCACATAATCTGTACATTTCTTCAACTTTCACATTTCTCTACAAAAACTACATAGTGCACCTTTAATCTTAGAAGATGTTTATGTTGCCATTATCTTGTGTTACTTAAAAGTTGATGTGATAAGTGCAGACAGAAGGGGTAAATAAATGCTCTTCATGTCCGTCCGTGCACACAAACTTTAGGCCACATCAGTTCAGTCTGGATAGAAACAGGTGGTTACTGTTCCTCAAACAAGATATCTCATCAGATTATACAATCAGCAAGGAGATGCACATCCGTGGATGATATAAATATAGTCATTTATTCACTTCTCTTTTCCTTATGGTTCAATCTGACACATCATATATCAGTATGTAGCTTCTTTTCTTTTTTTTACACATACAAAAGGGATAACAAGATCAGACTTATTTACAGACATCCAAATATACTGAAATATATCCTCCCTCCCTTCCCCTCTGGCACCCCTTACCACTCAGTATTATGTAACTCTACTCTGTGTATTACAGTGCAGATTGTGTAAATGACTCCAGGTTAACTTCATGATTTGCTGCTTGTTCATTTTGAGTTTTAAAGAGCCCATATTTTGCCCTTTTTGGGGTTGTATTTAATCGATGTACCTACTTTTGTACGTCCACAACAGATAAAGTCCGAAAAAAGTGTCTGTTTTCATGTACTGCTCCTCCTTGCTCCCTCTATGCTCTGAGTCCGTCAGCTGCACTCTGTTGAGCCCACACTGTTAAGACCCCACGTGGGCCAAGTCTGCTCTGATTGGTCTGCCGATTCCGCTCTGTCGTTATTGGTCAGTTGCTCAGCACGCGTCTCGGAAATTTCAACATGAGCTGCAGGGCTTAGATCAGTGATCTCACACTGACAATGACGTCACACTGACACATTTTTATCGAGGGGGCCTAGAACCGAGCGTTACATGCGGCTAATGCTACAGCTAACAGGAGGACGTAGGAGAAGCCACGTTTCCGTGGACTTTGAATTTTTGCACATAGATGTGCCTAAACATGCACAGGACACTTGGAAAACACACTAAAGAGCATATAAAACCAGAAAAAGCATAATATGGGACCTTTAATAACTTATGTGTGTTGTTCATGTGTATCCAAAGTTAGAGTGTAAAATAGTGTTAAAAAAATGACTTAGAAAATAAGCATTGGTAAAATTACACTGCTCACTGTCAGTGTAAGGCAGCATGCTCTGTAAATATATTTAAAAATATATTTCTGAATACAGCCCGGTGTTAAACACATTTGCACAAACATGCACGTTGGAAGTGAAAACCGCAGATGTACAACAAACTGTTCAAACTGCAGAAATACCTGAGGAGTTCAATTAGACCATCTTAGGTAAGCACAGCTCACTACCAAGAACTATTATACCTCATGAACATTAAACTTGACTCTAGATTAGCTCATTGTGGTTACAGCAATAAGTAGCACGCTTTGAGGGCTACTTGTTTGTTCAAGGGTCAAGTCCTTTTTTTTAAGAGTCCCAGTGGCCATTATTCACAACGGGCTCTTTCAGGGAGAGGAGATGAGGGAGTACGAGTAAGGATCTAGTCTCCAGAAGCACTATGGATATGTAAGGGAGGAGGAAACATCAGATCCTTCCAAGGACCTGCATGACAGCCGTGGTGGTGCTCTGGCCGAAAATGAAAGCTCCGCAGATCAAGGTCACAACCCCCCAAAGTGTGAGGATGACTCTGGAGAGGAGGAGGTCGAGAGACAAAAAGAGAGGTCACTAAAGAAAACACAGCAAGCATCACTTCGATTAGTCAGTATAAAATAATGCTGTGTCTGTCTGTTCTTTTTCAGAAGATTTCAACACCTGACACTGAGGCATCCCCTCACGGAGGTAGAGCTCATATTAGGACTCTGAGAGGAAGAGGAATGTTGATGGAAATTGTTGCAAACACACTTTGAGGATATTTAAACTTTAATTGATTGGATGTGTCACAGCCATTACTGCAGCTCACAGCGTTGCCAAAATAATCAACGGTCCAAAATAGCCACTTTACTGTTGATTGCACGGCTCTTTAATTACAGCACCTACAGTGCTCCAACAACCACATTATTTAAAGTTTGTACTAAATAATTTTATAGATATTCCGAATAAGCAAAACTCCAAGCCTTGAGGTATTAGCTCTCCTGACCTCTATGAACATATGAACATTTAGAGAATGAGAAAAAGAGCTTGGCAGTTCAAGCTTTTACTGATCCCTCAGAAGCCCGGCACAATACACAACACATCGCTAAAATCTGATGAGGGTCAATGTCCAGTACAGTACATTCATTTAATACAAAAAGGAAAACAGTGCTTTTTTTGTCCTGCTGATGTCAGTGTTTTTTTTCTGCTGATGTCAGTGTTTGCAAAGCCTTACACACAGAACTTGTAATTTGGGGATGTCCTGAATAGGAGCAGTGGGCACCCGAGGCCAAACACCACACTCCATTAAATGTAGTTCAATTGTAAGAATGTTTACTTTATTCATTTCAGCTTTGTGTGACTGTCTTTCATTTGGTTGACAATTACTGCTCTCACCAGCCCGGGAGAAAATACCCAATAAACAATCTTTAATTCTGAAAAAAAGATGGACACAACAAAATTAACACTCCTATAAAATACTGTAGTTCACTCATGCTAGTGAGAGAAAAAGCTGGAACCAAAGCATAAATACAGCAGAAATCAAGTATATCCTCTGTAAATGTCTCTGAGTCATGACTGTTTACAATGAGTGAGAAGTGTGAGTCCTGCCAGCTGTGCTGTTGTTGGAGCCGTGTTAACAACATGTTTTAGTAACAGACTAGAGAAAAGAAGAATAACATAGCCTACTCACTGCTTATTTGATATGGATGTCACAAATAAGTGTCTTTAGATCTCTGTCATTCTGTGTGAATTTATGTGCAATGTGAAGCTATGAGTTAACCAAAGTGTGCTAACATTAGCCTGCTAAAACAACAATGCAGGCCACAGGCAAATGCAGCTCCAGCCAAGGACAATTTTGTGAGTGCACTTAATGGTGCTTATTTATAATGTGTTCTAAATGATAACTCCTTCGTGCGAATGCGAGTGGAGAGGGGTTGGACGTTTGCTGCTGGAGGAGAGCCGAGGCTTCAGTGTGTCCTCAAAAAGCAGTTTGTTTTGGTTTAATGATGGCGCTCAATGGCGACATCTACTGGATTAGAAAGTCACTTTGCTGTGATGAAAATGAAGATCTTCTGTTATGTTTTGCAGAACTCTGTAAGTGTCAGTCATATAAAATGGATTGATTTTAATGGCTTAAAAGTACTTGAAGAATGCGCTATGAAGCTATGTAATCTAAGAAAGTAGAGGTACCTGATTGGGACTCATAATTTATGACTTCAATCAGGTGTTTGGGTAACGACATAATGTGGACATCGCATGTGCAGAGATTGATGCTGTTGAAAATGACACGTTTCATAAATGTGCTCAGTAAATTCCCTCTGTGCCTTTCCTATGTGCGAGACTTGTACAACTGGAACGCGAGTAAGCGTCCAAAATGTAAAGTGTTCACACTTTAGTCAGCATGACTGAAGAAAAACATTTTTACTGAGTCTCTGACCAAAGACCAGACTTCAAATTCTGAAGGAGTCAACAAAGTGATTACCACCCACTCAGGCAGTTCACTTCATTGTCTCGTCTGTATTTCTTTTAGATTATCATTTAGATGTATATTTACAATACATTTACATTTAAATTAAGTTTTTTTTTCTCACCTAGTCTTCCAGGAGACCAGCTCAGACTGCATTGCAAATATCAAGCAGAGTCCTGTTCAAACACATCACAAAGGTTTTTAGAGTTGCAGAAATGTTGAGAATATGAATCTATAACCCGATTGTTACCTGGAAAGATGAAGATGAAGATGGCGCTGATGCCTCCCATGACGCTGATGATCTTGCTGATGTCTGGTATGCACGTGGCAATGAGCAGCGTCACAGTTATCCACAGGACTGTTAGCACGTAACGGCTGCGGCTTTCAAACTCCGCTGTTGCGACGTTACCACGTCGCCGCCGCCAATTTAGCAGAGGGTCCTGGATCACAGATCTGATGTGCAGGGAACAGAGGGTTTAAGATGGACCGGTAGAGCTACGGTCTTTATGCAAAACATTTGCTTTTGTAAAGACAAAAAAAACATGGAGACCTTCTCATGTCAGGAGTCATGTCTCCTTACATACAAACATCCTGTGCTGACATCGGGTCGAATTACCCATCTATCAGCAACAAATACAGCATATCTAAAGCAGTAGAGAAAAAGTTTTCAAATAAAAACATGTCACTTATAATCAGTGGCTTACTGAGCAAACCTTAGCGTGTGGTGGAACAGGAGGTGTTCAGACAAACCCATATCAATCTCTCCTGACTGGTAATAGTTAGTTCCTAACCTTTGCATTGCATTGTGGGTGAATAGCTTCCATAAATAGCTCAGTGTCACGTGCCGTAGTTTTGTGTGTTCTCTCTCTCTCTCCTGTGTGTGTGTGCTCCCCAGGTGTTGCTCCTCAGCCTCAGAGTGCCCAGCCACACCTGTGGCTAATTACTAATCAGGGGCAAACTATAAAGAGCAGGAGAGGAGGCTGCCATCTGCCAGTTGGACTGCGTGTGTCTTTGACGTTGACAAATTTAGTGGGAGCCTTCTGTGGAAGGATTGTGTTTTGACTAAGGCCTTATTGTTCATATCTTGTTAGTTTCAAATTATGTTTAAGCTTGATTGGCTTCTCTTATGTTTTGAAGAAGCTTGTTCTGTGTTTCACATTTTTGCTTTAGTTTGTTAATAAATCCATTTTAACTTGGATTACATTAGTTCCTATTTTCTTTTCCCTGGGTTTTAATTTATTGTTACTCCCCTCATCCCCTAGCCATCTTGGGGAATGTAACAATTTGGGGGCTCGTCCGGGATCCAAGAGACTTGGGAATTGTTGTAGGCTTAATTTGTTTGTATACTGCACCTCTTTGGGATGCATTTTGTCGAGCCTTTAGTGTGCAAAGCTTCCTCAGTTTAGTTAGGGGAGTGACCAGCTGGGCTGTTGCAGTCCTTCCTTCGGCCACTCATTTTTTTTGTTTTGCCTTTTCTTATTTTTGGGACAAATCCTGAGTGGGGAGTACATTCCCTGGTGGGGGTAGGCATTTCGAGGCTTCGGCCATTGATGCAGCCTTTAAATTCACCTCGAGCCCGGCAGGTCCCAGAAGACAGTTAGGTAGAGGAAGTTGTGTTTGTGTGTTGGCTAGTTGTGTTCTGTGATTTAGTTTGGCATCCTGCATCAACTTTACCCGGTTCATTAGTGAGGTGAGTGGAATGCAGCCAGTTCGTTTTGATTAGATTTGGTACATTTAGCAGTGGCTTATAGTGATAAGGCATTGTTAGCTCTGTTTTGTTATTTCCTGTAGTAGAGTAGCAGCTATGTCTTCTGTGTTTTCTGCTCGTCCGTGCTCCTCTTTGCTTGTCCCTGTTTTTGAAGAGTCTGAAGTTGAGTCTTTCTTTGTTGTGTTTGAGCGCATTGCCACAGTTTTGCGTTGGCCTAAGGATGTGTGGACAATGTTGCTACAGAGTAAATTAAAAGGTAAGGCCCTGGAGGTTTACTCTTGTTTGTCAATTGATGACACCCTTGACTATGACAAGGTTAAGGATGCCATTTTGAGTGTGTATGAGCTTGTACCTGAAGCCTTTCGACAGCGCTTCCTTAACCTGAGGAAGGCTCCCCACCAGACTTTTAATGAGTTTGCCATGGAGAAGAGGAAACTCTTTGACCGATGGTGCAGAGCTAGCAAAGCCACTGACTTTAGCTCATTGTGTGAATTCATGTTGTTGGAAGACTTTAAAAATTGTGTTCCAGAGCAAACTGTGTTGTACCTGGAAGGACAAAAGGTAACTTCCTCACAGGAAGCTGCATTTCTGGCAGAGGAGATTGCCTTAACCAACAAGGTAGTCTTTGTGGGTGAGTGAAAATGGCCTAAACTTGCACCTCAAAGCCTCAAGTCAGACAGGAAATGTTTCTATTGTCATAAAGTTGGTCACCTGATCGCTGATTGTTTTGCTCTGAAACGTAAACGTCAGTTTCGGAAATTGAAGTCCAAGGGTGTGAACAGGACCAAAAATGTTTCTCCTCGTGTTGAGTCCATGGCTCCTGATGTGAGCGCAAAATCTGTCTTAAACTGTGAAGTCTTTCCTACAGGAAATGAAGAGAGGTCATCACCTGCTGGTGACTTGAACTGTGCTTCAGGTGAACCTGAAGTTGTGTTGGAGCAGCTGATATCTGCTCCTAAAGTGTCGCTGCCACTGAATCAGGAGGATCTCTGTGGACAGGAAGTGTTTCTTCCCCAACTGTGTGTTCAGGTCCAGCCATACCAACCTGAAGAGGCGAAGGAGGAGGAGACAGAGACGATGTCCGTATTCTGCCAAGTACCAGTTACTTTGGACATTATGGGATGTGCGTCTGGTTTGGCAGTACGTTGTGTTGGTGAGCAAGGTGGTGGGTGTGATGGTTAGTAGTGTTGGATACATGTTGAATCACATCTCCTTCACCTTCTCAAGTCTCAGTCTATAGATTCTGTTTGTTTCACTCTTTCCCCACTTCTGTTAGTTCTCTGTCACTGTCACATTGTGGTGTGTTACAGGTTGGCAGTGGTGTTCTTTATGTTGCTTCCACTAGATGATTTGTTTCCTAAGGCACTTTGGGGAGTAACTTGACTCAAATATTATGTGGTGGGTTTGAAATGATGAGATGTTTCAACCTTCAACCAGGAAAACAAACGTTAAGTTTGTTCTTATGGGGGGAGCTGTTACGTGTTACTTAGTTTTGTGTGTTCTCTCTCTCTCTCCTGTGTGTGTGTGTGTGTGCTCCCCAGGTGTTGCTCCTTAGCCTCAGAGTGCCCAGCCACACCTGTGGCTAATTACTAATCAGGGGCAAACTATAAAGAGCAGGAGAGGAGGCTGCCAGTTGCCAGTGGGTCGTTGGACTGCGTGTGTCTTTGACGTCGATAAATTTAGTGTGAGCCTTCTGTGGAAGGACGGACGAGGAACAGGGAAGGTGAGGGCTCTAAAAGACACTGACACTTGCTTTTCTCACTCAGCACAGCTTGTTGTACAAAGTGGAGATAACGATGTATTAACAACATCCACATCTGTGCTGCTCCTTAATACAAAGTACCACACATCCGCGTTTCCACCTTTAATACAAAAGCACTAGATGTCATACTGTTTGAAAGGGGACACTGAAATTCACAGAGCAAACATTTAAATATTTAAGGGATGCAGTGTGGACAGCCAGTGTACGCGATGCAACACAAAATATATCTCTTGGGGCTGTTGTTAGAGGGGTAGAGGCCGAATTCAAGATAGGGCATTTTTGTTTTTAATAAAATACACCTAGGCTGACCACTTTTATAAAACTCTCATTAACTTCCTCACATTAATTGATTCACTTGTTACCCAAAAACTTTTAAACAATTAGTTATTTATAACAAAATGACATATTCTAAATGTCAATTAAGCATTCAAATATTGTGATGATTTTTAATATTTGAATGTGATTCTGCAGCCCTGGTGTAAATGTTTTATACTTTTTAGGAAGTGAACAGATGTAAAAGGAAGTGGAGGACTGTCTGACCTGTGAGGGAGTAGATAATAAGACAGAAGATCATGGAGACCACAGAGATGAAGACCCAATGAGAGAGCCGCTGGTTCTCCATGCTGCTGTAGATGGCAATGGACGCCTCGTGGCACTGGAAACAGAAATGAGGTGAAAATAGAATATAATGATAATACAGCAATATTATATATTAGAGCCCAACCAATAATATTTGCCAATATTGGCATATCAAGTGACAATCGTATTGGCTAACTTTATCACAGATACGTGCCGATATAACTAGATTTATTCACCAGTAAAATAGCGTTTCATTTGACTGGATGTCACAAGCAAAGTGTGCTTTTATACAACAAGCATCATCACTCTCCAGAGTGTCAAGCAGTGATGCACATACGCACAGTTACTTTACAGTTGAATGACCATCTTTTCTTTATATATATATTTTCCACAACTGTTTGATAACTGTATTTTAGGGATCAACACAATATATGTATCTATATACATGTCTAGAGATCGAAGATAGATCTATGAAAGATATCGGCCAATATATTGGTATCAGATTTTTTTTCTCTCTCCCTAATATCCATATCGTTATCGACCCCCAAAAAACACATCGGTCGAGCCCTATAATATATATATACACACACACGTATACATAACTAATATGGATACATTTTCTGATCCATTGTATCATCCATGTTTGAAATGTTTATTTCAACAGGTATTGTGTATTGTGTTTGCCTGGGAGAGACAAAATATAGATCCACTGACAGATAACCCTACATGTTATCCAGACAGATTGTTTGCCTCTTGTCTTCAACCTTGGATTCTTCTCATTTATTTGGAGCTCACCGTCCTGGTTGGGAATCCAAAGGTCTGATTATCCCTGATCTCTCTACTGGTGTGATGAACTGAGATGAGATAGGAATTAAATGAAGGTTGTGTCTCTGAGTGGTACAATGGGGTGAGATAAACCATCCCCGAGGTCAGGATATAGACTCTTGTCCCCACTTGATCCCAGCTGCCATCAGCCAGTTTTAAATCTCACTTTCCCCCTTCCTGCCATCCCCTCCTCCGCTCCTCTCAGGATCTCATCAGCTCTCTTTTCAACCCTTTGCAGTGCAATCACCCTGAGGGAGCATGTCTCGGTGCGTGTTTGTCGGGGGACGTGCATCAGTCCTTCCGCGCCGTCCCTTTTATTAGATCTTGCCAGTATCCCTCTGGTGTTGTCTTGGTAACTTGGAAAGTCACAAATCCATGCGTCTTTCTTTAGACTGACAGAATTGTCTTTTCTCATACTATAAAACCATGATATTAAAAATGAAATCTCACTCTGCAAAGCTCCCACAGAGCACCCACCAAATGCTGACCTTCACACTGCACTAAGCAGGCTCTTCTGACAGAGACTAGGTCCTAAAGATTACTGAGAAATCCAACAATGCATCTTTCTTAATCCTTATGAAATGTGTTTTTTTTCCCCCCGTGACTGACTCTTTCTTGGCCATGAGCAGTGACTAACTGGACTATTGCCATCAGGGTGAGGTTGCCATGCAACCACTAGAGAATTTATATTCATGTAATTTTACACTACCAAAAATAATGTTCTGGCATTTGGCCTTTGCAGATTGTCAAATAGTAACAGGCATATACACAGGCTATAACATGCAGAATCAAAACCAGGACATTGCATTTACATGTTAAGCATCTCAGCAGCATGATGATATTTAAGGTTTGACGGCTTTTTACTTCAACTACATCTGTAAACTTGTCATATGACCAAAGTAAAACAACACTCTGCATGCCTCTGTGGTAGCACTGTGGAAAACTACACTCTAGTATGCCCATTAGAACCATTATGTCCTTTTGCTCCTCTATCACAGCCGACATTTCCCTCCTCCTTCCAGTGTTCTGTTTCAAATAGCGATTCATATTTTTAGCTTTGCTCCACAAGCCAAATCCATTCAAACATACCAAAGACTTAAGAAATGTCAATTTACTTTTTTACTTACTAGTGAGCTCCCATAAACGCCCTCTGTAGCCATATACGTGAACTGCAGACAAAGTGACAAGTAGAGAATGAACTCCTTATTTGTACTGCAGATTTATTTAAGAATTTACAAAACGGTTGACTTTTAGTTAAACATTTCTAATCCAATTAGTTAGTTGCATCGGATCTTAGTCATGCCAGAATATGGAAAGTCCCAGGACAGGAGACTTGTCTATGCAAGACACTACACTTTATGACTGAGAAAAATATGTGTATTGCCAACATGGTTAATCACTTTATGGTCACATATTGTGCAAAATACACTTTACCATGATGTTCCAACACTAATATGTGTCCCAAGCCTGTCGACAAAATCCTCCAATTATAAGAAAAGTCCTTTCTCTCCGTCTTCTGCCTGCTCTACTTTTCAGAAAATGTGTGCTCCAACAGGCCGTTGGACGGGGCGGAGGTTTGTTTTGTTGTTAGACTTGTATGTTTTATTTGAGAAGTGTAACGATCTATTCATTTCCTTAATGCAATAATTACATATTTTTTTCATTTTGAGTAAAATACACACTCCGTTCATTTAGCAGAAGTCTGTATGTATCTTTTCAGTGGCTGCTTCTGCACTGAGTGTTGTGAGTCAGACAAAACAACAAACGGGGAGCTTGCATGTAAGGAATACATCTTCAGTTTTTTGACTGAAGTTTACAGCTACCAACTACAGCAGGCTGCCTGCAGATCCTACACAGTCGGAACCAAACCAAATGGAACCAAATTGTCAAGTGAACAGATCACGGATGTACCATGTTCTGTTGCACCACTACTTTAAATGGTAAATGGACTTGAGCTTATATAGCGCTTTTCTAGTCTTCCGACTACTCAAAGCACTTTTACACCGCAGGTCACACCCATTCACACACTGATGGTAGTGATCATAGTGTAGTATCATCCATCAGAAGTAACTAATCCCATTCATACACCACCACTGAAGCAGTGGGAGCTTATTAATTAATTAACACAGGGGTGACATAAGAGTCGAAGCGACGCCAGTGTGTGACTCGACATCCAAGCAGCAAACAGACGGACATCCACTACCTCCCCATTTTTGGTTCCTTTTCGTTTGACCAACTTCTAAACAACTGTTTGTGTGAAACCTGACGGTCAGAGCTCGCCGCTGACTGCTGACCGGAGGTAAGCCCACACATTACACCGCCAGCCAGCCTTTGTTTGTGAAGCCTATGTATCTTTGTGTTAGAGAATGAGCATCCCCTAGATGCCAGTCACATTTATGTATTCCCAACTTTGAAACCATAACTCTCCTTAAGCATGCCATGCATACATGAATAAGCATTCCTGATAACAGCCCAACAGTAACACAGATTTAATGTCCCTTAAAGGCATTTGCTCAAACTCATGTAATATTGTTGCACTCACTTGGAAACCAAAGCAGATGGTGGGGATGACGCTAAACATGGAGGCCCAGGAGCTGATCCTGCACAAAGACAAGAGGAGACACAAGAGTCATTTACTGGAGTTCACAAATGCCATGAGAAGAAAAAGAAACAAGCTTTATAAGGGCATCATTTATAATGTCGTGGCATTTAAAGATGCTTCATTCTAGAGATCATCCGTCAGTCACAGCCGCTCATCTGACAGGAGCAGCAGGGGTAGGCTACTGAGCGAGACACAGTGCTTTAACAACGGCACAGGAGTTCAAGGAAACAGAGGAGGAAGTGGTTTGATCTACTTTGTCTGCCCTGGTGTCCTGGATTCAAAGCAGATTTATGGATAAGAAGCAGCCATATTTTCTTGGAGCAACCTTATAAAATAAACTTGCCCTGGTAAGTCAGTAGTTTCATCAAATAGTTAGAAAAAACATAGATTTTTAGATTAAATATATCTTTCCCCACTTTATTAATAACAACATAAATGAACTTCAATGGCACTTTTCAAATCTTCTGACTACTCAAAGCACAACAGGTCACACCTACCCATTCTCATTATGGCAGAGGTTGCTATGTAATTTGTCCATCAGTATTAAATGATTCATTCACACACTGCTGATGAAGCAGCGGGATCAACTTGGGGTTAAGTTTCTTGCCCAAGGACACATTGGGCATGTAGCTGAAAGAGCTGGGGATTGAACCCCGGACCTTCTGGTTGAGAGACGACCGACTCTCAGACAGCTTCCCTCAGTTAAGTAAACTGTTGGTTGGCTGAAAACTTCCTTGGAATCTGTGGCTCAGTGGTACAACCAAAACGGTTGGTGGTTCGATCCCCAGCTAATGCGGCCACATCAGTTCGAGAATGTGGTGCCCTTGCCTTACAAACTGAAGGACAGCACTGCACATCTAAATGGAACCAATACCTGTAAACATCTTCCCTAACACTATCTGAGTTCACGAGTCATTGTTACTACTGAACTGAAAAGACTGTTTGTAACCCTGGTGAATATGTTTCAATCATCCTACACATACACAAGTACAGTACATACCCACTGGTGTAAAGAGGGGTCGCATAAATCAGAACATGAGGCGTGGTGTGATATTTGATGATGATGGCAATGGTCAGGTAGGTCGCAGCCAGAGTACCTAGAACACTGAGACAGGACAGAGACAAAATACCAGTTTCAGACAGAGATCAGACAAACACAGACATGCAAGTCGAAGTGCAACAGATGTGAGAATCCCTGGAACAAAAGGGTCAGCATCTACAATGACATCATATCAACATGAGTTTACCTTTATATCCTCTATGTGGCTGATATGTGCTGATGTAAGCTGTGATTTGTGTATCATGTGGATAAGTGTGAATAATAAGTACAAGTATTTGTTTAAATATATACTCATGCAATAAATAAAGGAAATGTATGATTATGACTACAATGGAAATTCATTTATCTATTGTGTCAGTCTGTCCAGAAGCTTTAAAGGTCACATATTATACTACTTTTCAACAAGTTAAGTTTCAGAGCTCCCCAGGTCTGTGAAGTTTCTAGCTAAAAATTCACTCTGATCCAGTACATGATCATGCCTATAAACCCCTCTATTTCAGCCCTGCTCAGAACAGGCTGTTTCTGTGTTTGTACCTTTAAATGTAAATGAGCTGTGTCTGAACACGCCCCTCTAGAGGGGCTTGGACAGCTCGGGCTTTCTTGCACCATGCCCTATTGTTTACGGTGAAAAGGCAGACTCAGAGGGCAGAACAAACACCTAGCTGGGGGAGTGTCACCCAGCTGGGGGAGGGGTTCATCTAAAAGGGAAATCTCCAAACATACTGTTTGAGCACACATTTCCTAAAAAGTGGAGCAGGAAAAAGACAGAAAGGAAGGACTTTTCTCATAACTGTGGGGTCATTTACAAGCTGGTTAAAATCACAAGTAATAAAACTGATTGTAATACACATACTATATTAACATGTCTTATCTCATAAACTTCATCATGTGCTTTTACAAAGCCTTAGATGTAAATGTCTGGTCACCTGACCTGATGTATTTCTGAATGCTGATTTCTTTAGAGGGGCTTGGACAGCTCGGGCAGCACCATGCCCTATTGACGGTGAAAAGGCAGACTCAGAGGGCAGAACAAACACCTAGCTGGGGGAGTGTCACCCAGCTGGGGGAGGGGTTCATCTAAAAGGGAAATCTCCAAACATACTGTTTGAGCACACATTTCCTAAAAAGTGGAGCAGGAAAAAGACAGAAAGGAAGGACTTTTCTCATAACTGTGGGGTCATTTACAAGCTGGTTAAAATCACAAGTAATAAAACTGATTGTAATACACATACTATATTAACATGTCTTATCTCATAAACTTCATCATGTGCTTTTACAAAGCCTTAGATGTAAATGTCTGGTCACCTGACCTGATGTATTTCTGAATGCTGATTTCTTTGGGGATGGACATAGGCAGAATGAGGAGGATGCAGAGCAGCGTTAGGGCGAAGCGCTGGTCTGTGTAGAAGTGATACGGCATCTCTGACTCCGGCAAGCCAGTCACCAGCTCGTACAGGGAGCCACTCACTGAAAAACAAAAACACAGACTTTAGATGCAAACTGTATTTGTTGCATATAAAAGGAATATACGGGTCTGATTTAAACTCTTTATAGTGCATGATAAAGTGCATAAAAATATGTCAAACCACCTATTGCCATTTAAATGGTGCACAATCTAGGTGCAAATGAAAGCACATTGCACACAGGTGTTCTTACTTAGTCTCTTTAGTCAATACATGGCTGTCTTTTAGGCTTAACATGAATCACAATAAAATAAGTAAAAGTCACCATCATAATCTTACAGGCCACAGGCTATAGCCTACTAGGGCAATTTACGAGGTGAGAGCTCAAAGGAAATATTTCCTTGTTTCACTCAAATCTTTTAGGCCAGATTTGACAAATTGCATCACCAAAATCAGCTGGTTCTCCTGTTTCATTTGACTGAAAGCCAAGATGTTAACAATGGGGCGAAGTTACGTTTGGTTTAGATATCAGTGCAGCTGTCTGCTGACTGGAACAAGATGATCAACCGTGCTCCGGGGAGAACCGCAACAGCCCTATTCACTGCGCATTTCCACCTTCCTCTCAAGTCAGAATCATTTTAATCAGATTGAAGGAATGTTGCACATTTGAAGCACATACTTTGACGAAAGTGTTAATCAGTGAATTATGGATTTCTTTACAGATGGATGTTGAAAAGATTTCTGTTCAAATCGTGATGAAAAAAACCACAAGACAGAACTTTATGCTATATTTGCACATACAGCAAACCAACTCACACTTCTCCAGCTGGTCATCCGCTATAACCAGAAAGGCCACAGAGATCATGAAGAGGTTGAAGACGAAGCAGATCTCACACAGCTGACCAATGGCTGGCCCACACACCTCCTTCACAACCGCCTGGTACGTGCACTGGCCACTGATGGACGAGGAGTAACCAAGGATGATCAGACCACTGACCAGGAACACGAGAGAGACCTAAGAGAAGATGGAAAGAAAAATGATGGACCCAAGAGATAAAGATGACATATGTTCAGGCAGGATATTTCTATTTATTTGCTCTCTTAGGGTTTGAACTTTGAGCTTATAAAGCAGCTGAAGACCCATCTGTTCAGACTTGCCTTTGTTTGAACAGACTGTATTTGATTTTTGACATGACTGTCTGCTTGTATTATCTCTGTTCAATTCTTTATTGTGAAGCACTTTGTGACATCTGTTCTTGAAAGGTGCCACATAAATAAACTTTACTTACTTAAAACATTTTACCTCACCATCAAAAACAACATCAACAACATATTTTAGAGTAGGGATCTGCATGTTTACTAGACTAGTAAACGATTAAACATTGGCACCCTTGTGAGTATAGTGTTTTTAAGTTAGCCCTCAATGTTGGACAAATATTATGGACAAGCTGTTATAGTGCCACTGACCACTAGCTGGGGCTGCAGCCATAGGCTGGGTGTAGCTCAGGTTACTGGGCTTTCTCTCTTCGCTCTACTGCCCTGATGTAAGCCAAACAATGCTTTAGAAATTTGGAACAGTAGGTGTGCTGCTTTTACCCCATTGCTGAAATGTGTTTGTATCAGAAAAAAATAACTTACCTAACATATGCTTTCATAATCAAATCAACAAGGGTATGGTAATGTATCTTAGATCAATTTCACCATAATAGTTCAGCTTAGCATCTAAAAATTGGTACGAGCACAAAGTAAAAACTGTTGTAAAAATTCTATAAATAATATAAGTCAATCTTTAATCCAAAAACTAATCTGTTTATCAACTAAATTCAGTGTTGGCAGTGTGCAATAGTGCAACTAGACAATAAGTCAAGTAACGAATCCCAATGTTTGGTCCAAAGACACATGGACATGTGGCTGCAGGAGCTGGGGATCAAACCCCCAACGTTACAGTTGAGAGACAACCAACTCTACCCACTGAACCACAGCCGCCCTGCTCTGGCTTTCTGTTCAAACTATGATTGTCCAGACAACGCTGTAGGATTTCACTATGTGCTATCTAGCTAGACAGTTATAAAGCCAGAGCACCATTTTTCAAGCCCAGCGCAGTTTTGGCAGATGGCTGCTGATCTTGGTTGTGCCCAAGATTTCTGCCTAACATTTTTTTTCTTGCCTCTGTGACTTTGCATAATGTTGCTTAGTGCTGTGCTCATGATGGATTAACATTGGTTCTTTGTAATGTAGTAATGAGTAAGGTCTTTTACTTAATCTTATTTAATATTACATAAGAAAGAGTAAGGTCTTTCACCAGCTTTATGTAAAGCGTTTTGAGATGACATCTGTTAAGAATTATACAAATAAACAACAACAATACAAATAAAGATTGATTGGCTTAACGTTGCAGTAAGCTACCAAGGACTAACAAACATTTTTAAGCAGAAAATCGCTGTCATCATTGCCCTCCTTGGTTTTTCTCTGCATGTATGATTCTACTTCTTTGACGGTCTTTATCAGCAGTACCATTCACACACTGATGGCAGAGGTTGCTATTGACCATTAGAAGTAACTAATCCCATTCATACTCATTCATACGCCGCGGACAAAGCGGCGGGAGCAACTTGGGGTTAAGTGTCTTGCCCAAGCACACATCAGACATGTTGCTGCAGGAGCTGGAGATTGAACCCCCAACCCTCCAGTTGAGAGACGACCGACTCTACCAACTGAGCCACAGAGCCCACAGACAGAATCCTTATCCGGGCTTACAGACATTTGGAGCGGAATGCAAACACAGTCGAAATCAGCAATGTGACACTTCAGGACACACTGAGTGTACCAGCTCAAAGCAGGAGAAAACATCGTCAACAGGACGACAAGAAAGGGCTCTCAGCTGTAGCAGTTTGGAGATATTTGGGCTTTTTACAGTCCAACAAAAATCAGAGTAAAGTGCTCTGTTAACTGTGCCAAAGACAAGTGCAGCTAAAACGGGAAACACCACAAACCTTTCCCACCATTTAAAACAATATCGCCTGTTAAAAACACACCAAAGGAAAGAAATGACCAAACGTCACAAACGAGTGTTAGTGTGGACCATATTATAAATAATAATAATATATACAGTCTATGGTGTGGACCCACAGTAAGCCCCGTGCCAGTAAGTGTTACTCCACAGCACCTAACTGTCTTATAAGCATTTATCGGCACAATGCACTGAGCTTATGATGGTGAAATGTCCCGGTTTAATTATAGTTTGGCATGTAATCACAATAAAGAATAATTTAACCACAATTAACCTTCTGGTTTTTTTTTTAACTTTCACTCAGGAGCAAAAATCAACCTTTAAATTTGAAAGAAATAATGGTTTAACATTTATTGTGATAATTATCGATATCGACTGATACGAAATGTTTTGTCGTGATAATGTTTTTTTTCATATCACCTATGTGCAGGTGTCCCTTACTGCTGAGTTATGTTGTTGGACAAAACTAAGAGAGAGCATTGTCATAAGGTATTGTAGCTTATGGTTGTAATCGCTAAAAATATCAAACTACCTTCTTCTGATATTCTTGTGCAACTAGCTCGCTAGTAGAGGTGGGGTAAAAAATCGATACAGTATAGTAGCGCGCTATTTTGTGAGGCGATATCATATCGTCTCATGGTGGCCAAGTATCAATATTTTTAATGAGATTTTAGATTTAGCTTTTTTAAATTTTGAACTGCTGAAGGGGTTGCACAATTCATTTTGAACAAGTTGCATTGTTAAGAATTCATGTTAAAGTTCAATTAGACTTAAAATACAAATTAAAAAAACTGAAGTGAGATGAACAGACTGAGAATTGTATCTTATTTGACAAAACAGTTCTTGATTTAGTTTTGTGTAGTGGACATAATATGTAGTTAAAAACCTTAATCACAACATCGCAAAATGTGAAAAAAAATCGCAATAGAATCGTATCATGTCTGGAGTATCGCGATAATATCGTATCGTGGTGATTCCCACCCCTACTTGCTAGCATTAAAATTTTACAAAACTGAATGTACTGATGCTCAAAGACTGCAAAAGGAAAAGTGTACCCACAAGGGAATATATGCAAATGTATATAGGCATATAACATTCAATCATATGTTTACTACAGTTATAGCTTGATCAGGCCATTCAATGGACTTCTGCTTGTCGCAGTAAGCAATGAGGGAGAATTTATTGACGGAAGAAATTCTGTCATCACTAGGATATGTGATGATAGGGCCACTTTTATCTTGTTACTATTGGACCTTCTTCTGGTTGACCTTGATAACATTTTCTACATTCTCTACACTTTACTTTTATACAACTGCGACGCACGTTAGCTTATGGTCATATCCAAAGACAGACAACAACGTGAATTCTGCTATGCCATTACTCCTATGCCATGCATTTATGCTACGTGACTTCCAGGTCAAATCCCGGCACAGGACTATGGAGTTTTTGCAGAACGCCCAGTTTGGGTCTGATTTAGGAGTATACATACAAAAGGAAATCCATCTTAAACCAGATTAGCTAGGTGTTTGTCAGACTTTGAGAAATTCCACTCAGTAAGATTTCAGTCAGACATTTGTACAAGCTTTTTAAAAGTTCAGTTTAAGTTGGATTTATACAATAAATCAACTTTTCTAACTGCATGTAAACAAACTGACTGGTGGAGCGAGCTAAAATGTTTGGATGGACTTATCAGTTACAGTATTTTTCTTGATTTGGCCGAAGCATTTTATTCATTGAAGGGAAGCAAAGATAATTTCAACTGCCTACCCTATAGCTTTGACTGTGAATCATACAACCCTAAGCTGTATTAAGCACTTCAGATAAATCCAGTAAAAACTTTTTTTTAATTTTTATTGTAGATATGGTTTAGGTAACTTTTTCTATGAGGCGAAAGAAAGAAAGTGTAAACAAATGTGAGCTCTGAAGCGTTTGATTAGACAGGAGTGCAAAACAAGCTTTCCAATATCGCAAGCTGATGAATTATCTTCAATTTGTATCTCACACAAAAACCCTCGGCATCTATCTGAATACCAATGATGTTGATTACCATGGTAACAGTGAAGCTTAAAACCACTTAACTTTCCTAACCCTGTGTTTGTGATACATCTTTACTATAAAAGGAAAATAACATCAGAGTTGGCTGTAAGCTGATTTTACACATTTTGGTTACAACATTTTAAATACAGAATATTTGAGTCAATGTAGCCTACGACCAAATTTGTATTTTGCATGATAAATAGCCTACATGATTATCAACACAAAGGGTTTAAAGGACCAGGCACAAGAGAAAAATAGCAAGTAGGAGGAACTTTTTTTCTTGCATTTTGAAGAAATAGAAATAGTCTCCCCTTATATCATCTACTTCCTAAACCTACTGAGGATAAAACAAAATAAAATGAGGCCTACTGTTTAGATTTATGCTGGGTCTGGGATTTAGCCCATGACAGAGATTCCAGCTTTCATCGTCAAAGAAATAAACAGCTGTGATAGAAAGGGCATTCACAAGAAGTTCTGACACAGCTAAACAACACAAAAACATTTTCAATATTGCTTTGCTGCGAGAAAAAAAAAAAAAAACTGGAGAAAGCACTTAGACTGCAGAAAAGTCAGACTGGGTGGACAAAATAGATCTTTAAAAAAAGGTGCTGAGGTCTATCATGGCCTCTCCTGTCAGGTGGAACAGATCACAATCTCCTTAATTGATCTCAGTGGACCTAAGCCTTCAGTCACGTTAGATAAGATGCATCCACCCTATGGCAAGTTATTCAAATAAATATCCAAAAGTTAGCCTTGCAGCTGATAAATAACCTTGAAAGCAGTTGGCTGCATCAACTTTTGAGATCTCTGCCAGAACTCCGAAGTTTAAAAACTCTATTTTTAAGTGTAGAAATAACTTTATATGTGTTTTATTATTATTTATTTAAAGATAATGCTCACCAGCTCCACGGTGACTGCGCTGCGGATGCCCCCGGCTCTCGCGAAGGCCCAGGGGAAGTTAAGAAGTCCGGCTCCGAGTGCAGATTTCAGCATGATGAAAATGGCTCCCATAGAACCGAGCCGAGGCCCGGCCACTACATCCAGCGGGGGCTTTGAAGAGGCTGAAGCCAGCAGGTTAATGCTCTCTCTGGCTAACTCCTCCATGCTTCAACCGGCTGGAAGCTCGCGTCTGGACACAAGCAGGTTGGATACATAAACCCGAGCCAGCTGCCGGTTTGCTATCCACCACTCCCTGGTGTCGGGTCTCGGGTCTCGGTGCTGTGCTCTGTGGGCCGGGCCGCCCACTGAGCAAGGTGAGCCGGATGGAGGAAGGAGGGAGGGGTCGGTGGATGGCTGCTGCTGCCTTCAAGCGTTAAGAAAGGTAAACCTAATGATAGGCTCCTGAACTTTTTCAATGAAATAATATTTTGTCATAGGGTTAATTAGATTGCTGCGATACAGTTTAAATTAAATAAAACAACTAAATGACAGAAAATATGTCGACTTGACAATTGGCCTACTGAAGGCTACTTTGTGGAAACTCTTTGTATCACAACAAATTAAAAAAATAACTTTTAGGCCCAGTGTTGTTTGATGAGTTCATGAAGCTATTTCATCTTCTCTTCATTTTTTAGTATTTTTAAAATGTGCTTGAAGTAGGCCTAGCCAAGTACAAAAGTAAAAGAGAATTTGCTGTTTGAGGTTATTATATTTGCTTAAAGTTCATTTTCATCTGCAGATAGCCTACACTAAAGACAAATAGCCTACACCAACACTGGGAAAAAAACTGGAAACAATACAATAGTAGGCTAGAGATATGCTACTAAAAACCACAATTTCAGCATGAAGTTTAGGTTTTTATACACCAAAATGTTTTCAAACAATAAACCTGACCATTAAAATTATGGCAGCTGTTACAAGGTACAAAGAAACATAACAGATAAGGGTAGGAGATAAAACAGACCAAAGTGTTTGTCTCTTTAAATCCTGAAACATGTTTTGGTTTTGTCTAAATCCTCAAATAAATGTGCACAAAAGAGATAAGGTAAAAATTAGGGACATGGGTGTGTGTGTGTTAGGCTGTCAAATCTCCGGATGTCAGTAAGTGAGGGAGAACAAAATGTGGGGAGCAGGAATGGGAAAGTCAGTGGAATGAGGAGAGCTGTATGGATGAAGTAAGGATAAGAGAAAGATCGCACAAGGGACACAACTTGCCGAAGGATGGGGATGGTAGGGGTATAAGAGGGGTATAATAACGGAGATGTGGACTGTGGGATGTAAAATAACTTCTTTGTGGTCCAGAATGTTCTGTGTCCCTACTGGCCGAAATTTAAGTTAGTCAAAGTCAAATATAAATGAATAATGGAGCTGTGACAGTCCCACATGGACAAGATCATATTCAAAAAGGATCAGATCGCTCATCTTTTCTTGTATGTGGGTCAAACAAATCTGATAACACTCTTTGGTTGGATGAAATGTCAAATCCACAAAAGGCTCATAATGTAAGCAATATTCATGAGGAACAAGATCCTGCCCTTACGTTTTGAAGAAAGGATGTTAGATAGATATAAGCCGTCTGTCTGAAAAGCACAAACGCTATTTAGCAGTGTTTTCTACTGCTCATTGTCAGGTAAATTAGCTTTTATTTGAGGATGATGTAACTAATGGAACTGCAGCTTGTACAGCCTTTTTTACGCAGTCAGTCCTTTAATTTAAAAGCTTTTATCATCTTTGTCTGTGACATCAACACAAAGCAGGATTGTTTTTGTTTATGACTCATATTTCAGATAAACTGTTCAATATAAAGCCACAGCATGTGGGAGACATCAACAAACAATTTCTTTCTTGAGAACTTGAGTAACTTACTTTTACAGCCAGTAGATCAGTAGAGTACATCAAAAGAAAAAACAATCAGTTTTAGATTGAACCCGTGGGTTCGAGCCGACTTCTGAAGGAAAGGAGGAACGAGGAATGTATCAGTAAGTGATGTGCAGATTGGCATCGTGAACCTTTCTGTTCATTGATTTTGAGTAACTTTGGGGGACAGCTTTTAATTTGATATAAGCGAGTTTAGTAGGTATTGAAAAGTCTACTGTTTGATGGGTTCCATTGAAGTTTCGATACTGATATTCAAGGTCTTCAGAGGATGAATCCCTCTGACTCCTCTTCACCGTGCTTCACTATGAAGAAGCAAGCAGGTGTAGTTGCAATACAAACCTTGCAACTTCAGTATGTTATTTATTTCTGAAACACTGGGCTGCAAGGCTATGCTGGTTGGTATTTCAAATGATGGTCATAAAACTTAATTGGTGCCTCTCATTTGATTCCTAACGAATCTTTCAAATGATTCAGATGTTAGTTGATTGGTAACTATGCTTTTGATAAAGCATAGTTTTGTTGGGCTTGGGCAGGATATGCTTTTCTGTGTTAAAAGGTTACATCTAAGTGAAGTGACAAGGGGGTTGGTGTCTCAACATTGAGCTCTTTCTGATTTTGGGTGTGTCTTATTTCATTCCAAGTCATATGAACCTCAATTACAGCTTATCTCTAAAAAAAAAGTGTATTCATCTGGTGAGGCCTCACTAAAACTTGGACAGTACTGCATCAAGTTTTCCCTGAGACAAATAGAAACTATGAAGGACTGGTGAAAGAAGTTTAAAAAAAAAAGACATGAGCGAGTGTGACGGCAGGGGAAGCTGGAGTGTAGATGCCAGCCAAGCTTTCATGCTCGCTCAGACATTAAGGATAAAGTGAATGGAGAGAGGTACAGGTTGGTGGTATGCATGATGAGGGAAGAACTGGTGAATTGGTGGGAGGGTTGAGGGTTCAGCTCATAGCCGCCACGGTGTCTCTTTCAACTGCCTGTCCAGGATGTGAGCAGGTGACCTGATTGGCCCGACAGGAAGTCTTGGCATCTGGGAACCGTGAAGGGAAAGAGGGCATGTGACCTCCACTCACCATCAGCTTTCCCAAATCTTGTTAGCACAGCTAGCTGGCTCTGGGGTCGTTTCCCAAGGTTCCAAGGGAGATTAGTTGTCCGCTGGGGCCGTCATCCAAGAGGACGGGTGACAGATTCACAGGCTGATCTGGCCTATTAGGCTCGGATAAGGAGCCAAAGCTCAGACCCTCGAGCACACCGACGCACATCACCTCTGATGAAATCAACCTGCATCACTGATTTTAGCCCATAACCTATACTCAAACCACGAGGTAGAAGGGAATTAGTCCATTCAATCTATGATCATCCACAGAAAGAAATGCAATTATTCCATCTCAAAGGTATGCCAAGAAGAAAACAGATGAAATGCCTAAGAACATGCACAATAATAATAAAAAAAACCTTATGAAACACGTTAAGCCTCCACCTATTGATTCAGTCTTTGATTTAAATCGCTCGTAATGACCGTAGCCAAATGTTTGCGTAAGTTTCAGCTCATCTTTGTGATGTCAACAATGCAGGGGTAAGAAGCAGGACTGATGCAGTAACTAATTCAGTCTATATGTTGGCTGCAAGCTCTGTCTCAAAAAAAAAAGATTTTCATTTCATTTACTGAATTTGCTGTGTCCACAGTAAGTTTCTGTCCTAGGCCCTCTTTGCAGGACTTTACATTTTCCTCTATTTCCATTTATTTGTTTCCTTTTGAAAGAAAAAAAAATGTCCAACGCCACCCCGAAAAAAAAAAACACATGGAATAAAAACAAGGTCCTTAAAAAGAATCCTGCTCTGACGATCACATTTTAATTCTTCTGGAACAACCAATGAAACACAAGAAAACAGGAGTGTAGTTAGTAGCAAGTTCAAAAAGACTTGATGTTATATGGATCAAGCTAACCTAATAACACAGTCTAAGAGCAAATGGCTCTGTTGAGCCCGGTTTCTTACTCAGGCCCGGCCTCCTTCAGTCTTTGGGAACAGGTCGTTATGCTCTGAAGAACATTATAGCAGCAATTATCTCTGGCTGCAGATACAACAAGGGTGAAATGCTGGCATAAAATAACTTCTGTGCAGATTTGGAGGTCAAAATATTTAATTTAAATTTGCCAAAAGTATTGAATGACTTGCAGCCCCTCCAGATAAACGAAATTGCTGTGTTTGGTAGAGCTGAATAAATATACTTTCTCCACTACTAAAGCAAGCACTGCTTGTTTGCTAGTAAGTGATTGTTTTTTTTAGGGCTGATCGATGCCAGTATTGTATTTGTGCAGTGTTTGGCATACCTGCTCATATGACATAATTCCCATATCTCAGGCTGTATCAGAGGCATGTTTGATATTGATGTCCATATATACTAAGTTGAGAATCAAAGTTAGACATGAATTCAAAAACATTCTCTGATTCTATGGGACAATCATAACCAAGCACATCACTTTGATTATGCCTTTTAATTGATGAGATATATTCAAACAAGTCTTTTAATGCTACTTTGTTGACCATGAGGTCATGAAGGAGGATATCAACCCAATGCCTGGCCAGAGTTCATTCACTATGTAAAATGTAAAACAATGAAATACAGTCATTTGACACAGATATGGGCGGGATGAACAAATCAGTGGATGGTGAAACAGGAGAAGAGAATATGATTATCCAATGGTCCTTGTGTAAGAAATGAGTGAATGTGTGTAAAGTGTGTTGCTGTCTATGTGTATATCATTTCCATTCTTAAAGTGCGTACAGTACATATTGTATTTCTGAGTGTATGCATGTTTGTGGGATCATGAATTCTCTTGGGACTTCTGAGATTGTGCATGATAGGGTATAAAGAACTTCAATAAATATAAAAGTCAGACAAATTTAATTCATAAAGAAATAGTTTGGTCAAAGAAGAGAGGGGGAGATGTACACAAGTTTGTCTAAAAGAGGCTTTCATGGGGGCGAGGTTTGTTTTGTGTTTACATGAGTTGAACACTTTCTAATACTGCTCATTAGTCCACAAACGGAGCAAAACACCCAATTACGAGCCTTGAAAAGACAAGAGGCACAAAAACTGTTTCAGCCTCCTGGAGGCACAATTTGTCCATGTTGAGAGCAGATTTGAGTTTCAGATCAGTCAGACATCTGCTTCAACAGTTCAGAGTTCCATGGAGTTCTACCCCTCTGATGTTCACAACACAAGTTGTCTTTTTTAATAACATCTCAGTCTTGGGAGGTAAACCCAGCTTTCCAGTAGCAATTCAGGGTTGCAGTCCATGTCAAACTGTGGGGGTTTTACCCGTCGTCGTCTGCTGCTGCTGCTGCTGGAGGTATGTAGGGCGCTTGATGCGGGGTTTCCTGCGCTTGGGTTTGCTCTTGGTCTTAGTCAGCTGCACC